TTGTGTATACTATAAAGGATGTATACTGTGTCCAGTGACACCTGCACCTTGTGTATACTATATGTGATGTGTACTGTGTCCAGTGACACCTGCTCCTTGTGTATACTATATGTGATATGTACTGTGTCCACTGACACCTGCATCTTGTGTGTACTATATAGGATTTATACTGTATCCAGTGACACCTCCACATTGTGTATACTATATAGGATGTATACTGTGTCCAGTGACACCTGCACCTTGTGTATACTATATAGGATGTATACTGTGTCCAGTGACACCTGCAGCTTATGTATACCATATGTGATGTGTACTGTGTCCAGTGACACCTGCAGCGTGTGTATATTATATAGGATGTGTACTGTGTCCAGTGACAACTGCACCTTTTGTATGCTATATATGATGTGTACTGTGTCCAGTGACACCTGCAGCTTGTGTATACTATAAAGGATGTATACTGTGTCCAGTGACACCTGCACCTTGTGTATACTATATGTGATGTGTGCTGTGTCCAGTGACACCTGCTCCTTGTGTATACTATATGTGATATGTACTGTGTCCAGTGACACCTGCACCTTGTGTATACTATATAGGATGTATACTGTGTCCAGTGACACCTGTACCTTGTTTATACTATATGTGATGTATACTGTGTCCAGTGACAGCTGCACCTTCTGTATGCTATATACGATGTGTAATGTGTCCAATGACACATGTACACTGTGTATGTTATACAGGATGTATACTGTGTCCAGTGACACCTCCACTTTGTGTATACTATATAGGATGTATACTGTGTCCAGTGACACCTTCACCTTGTGTATACTATATATGATGTGTACTTTGTCCAGTGACACCTGCACCTTGTGTGTACTATATAGGATTTATACTGTGTCCAGTGACACCTGCACCTTGTGTATACTATATAGGATGTATACTGTGTCCAGTGACACCTGCACCTTGTGTATACTATATTGGATGTATACTGTGTCCAGTGACACCTGCACCTTGTGTATACTATATAAGATGTATACTGTGTCCAGTGACACCTGCAGCTTGTGTATACTATATGTGATGTGTACTGTGTCCAGTGACACCTTCACCTTTTGTCTACTACAAGGGATGTATACTGTGTCCAGTGACACCTGCACCTTGTGTATACTATATAGGATGTATACTGAGTCCAGTGACACCTGCACATTGTGTATACTATACAGGATGTCTAATGTGCCCAGTGACACCTGCACCTTGTGTATACTATATAGGATGTATACTGTGTCCAGTGACACCTGCACCTTTTGTATGCTATATAGGATATATACTGTGTCCGGTGACAACTGCAGCTTGTGTATACTATATGTGATGAATACTCTGTCCAGTGACACCTGCACCTTGTGTATACTATATACCATGTGTACTGTGTCCAGTGACACCTGTACCTTGTGTATACTATATATGATGTTTACTGTGTCCAGTGATACCTGCACCTTGTGTATGTTATATAGGATGTATACTTTGTCCAGTGACACCTGCAGCTTGTGTATACTATATAGGATGTATACTGTGTCCAGTGACACCTGCACCTTGTGTATACTATATAGGATGTATACTGTGTCCAGTGACACCTGCAGCTTATGTATACCATATGTGATGTGTACTGTGTCCTTTGACACCTGCTCCTTGTGTATACTACATGTGATGTGTACTGTGTCCAGTGACACCTGCACCTTGTGTATACTATATAGGATGTATACTGTGTCCAGTGACACCTGCACCTTGTGTATACTATAAAGGATGTATGCTGTGTCCAGTGACACATGCAGCTTGTGTATACTATAAATGATGTGTACTGTGTCCAGAGACACCTGCACCTTGGGTATACTATATAGGATGTATACTGTGTCCAGTGACACCTGCACCGTGTATATAGGATGTATACTGTGTCCAGTGACACCTGCACCGTGTGTATACTATTTATGATGTATACTGTGTCCAGTGACACCTGCAGTTTGTGTATGCTCTATAGGATGTATACTGTGTCCAGTTACACCTACAGCTTGTGTATACTATATAGGATGTATACTGTGTCCAGTAACAACTGCAGCTTGTGTATACTATATATGATGTGCACTGTGTACCGTGACACCTGTACCTTGTGTATACTATATAGTATGTATACTGTGTCCAGTGACACCTGCAGCTTGTGTATACTATATAGGATGTATACTGTGTCCAGTGACACCTGCACCTTGTGTATACTATATAGGATGTAGACTGTGTCCAGTGACAACTGCAGCTTGTGTATACTATATAGGATGTAGAATGTGTCCAGTGACACCTGCATTTTCTGTATACTATATAGGATATATACTGTGTCCAGTGACACCTGCAGCTTGTGTATACTATATAGGATGTAGACTGTGTCCAGTGACACCTGCAGCTTGTGTATACTATATAGGATGTAGACTGTGTCAAGTGACACCTGCAGTTTCTGTATACTATATATGATGTATGCTGTGTCAAGTGACACCTGCAGCTTGTGTATACTATATAGGATGTGTACTGTGTCCAGTGACACCTGCAGCTTATGTATACCATATGTGATGTGTACTGTGTCAAGTGACACCTGCAGTGTGTGTATATTATATAGGATGTGTACTGTGTCCAGTGACAACTGCACCTTCTGTATGCTATATATGATGTGTACTGTGTCCAGTGACACCTGCACCTTGTGTATACTATAAAGGATGTATACTGTGTCCAGTGACACCTGCACCTTGTGTATAATATAAAGAATGTATGCTGTGTCCAGTGACACCTGCACCTTGTGTATACTATATAGGATGTATACTGTGTCCAGTGACACCTGCACCTTGTGTATAATATAAAGGATGTATGCTGTGTCCAGTGACACCTGCACCTTGTGTATACTATATAGGATGTATACTGTGTCCAGTGACACCTGCACCTTGTGTATAATATAAAGGATGTATGCTGTGTCCAGTGACACCTGCACCTTGTGTATACTATAAAGGATGTATACTGTGTCCAGTGACACCTGCACCTTGTGTATACTGTGTCCAGTGACCTGCACCTGTGTATACTGGATGTATGTCCAGTGACACCTGCACCTTGTGTATAATATAAAGGATGTATGCTGTGTCCAGTGACACCTGCACCTTGTGTATACTATAAAGGATGTATACTGTGTCCAGTGACACCTGCACCTTGTGTATAATATAAAGGATGTATGCTGTGTCCAGTGACACCTGCACCTTGTGTATACTATATAGGATGTATATTGTGTCCAGTGACACCTGCAACGAACACACGATACATTTCCCTAACTGAAAAACCTTTTCATACCATTATCAGACATACTAAAATGACGTTGATGTACAAGACTGTACACCGTCAATGGAAAATAGTGTAACTTTTACCGCAGGGTATAGTTTGGACGCATAATACATTTGCGATTTCTTATGTTTCATCTCTTATCCAATCTGCCCCTGATGATATACAAAGCCAGATTCTGTCTGACTGCAAAAATGGCATCCTACCATGATAGAGACTTTTCCCAGTATTCGTTTAATGTTTGCTGTCTATAAATACTACACGTGAATGTATACTAGCATAATACCTCACCTTATGATTCACACAGAAGCATATAACAATTCCGTCTCATATAAACAGTATACTATGTTAAACAATTCATGCCAGTTGTTTAAGAACCATGTCTTGGGGTCATGAGTTTGTGTCACTTTTAATGAACATGTTTTTTTATGACATTTACACTGGAGACACCCGACTGGATTCAGCTCGATTCATCTCTTGTTCATTTTTTTTACCGCTGTCACAAATGTATTCAGTATCTATTTAAAATTTCATCATATATTTGCAAGACAGAAGGTGTGTACTATGCTTGGAGGAGAGAGGAAACTAGTCTGGATACTGACTACCTCTATGTTAAAATGTGAATTGGATTTTAACTTTGAGGATGACAATAAATTTTGGAGCTGGCATCGACTATTCACCTGCAATGTGCTAGTTTGGTAGCCTCCGTCTCCACTGACACTCTCTTAAATCCAAATCCTGAAGCATTTAGTTCGGTAATAATGGCGAGCCCAGATGAAAGTATTCACCAATGTGTGTGACTATTGAAAGAATGGACACTTTTGTATGCATGTATGTGTATGTGTACTGTATAAATTCTCTTTTAACATTGCAAGCACCTTTTCCAAGATATATGCTACCAACGAAATAAAATATATTGCCTTTACCAACTTTCCTAAAACATTCGCTCTTAATATTGGAACAAAATTGTGTGATGTACTTCGGAGAACGTGTTTTGTGGAGATCGGGCTCTGTTGTCAGCCCATATGTTTTCCAAAATTCATTGGCCAGTTTTCACAGGAAATAAAATCATTTTCTACACACATGCACCCAGACTTACTATATTTGTGTTTTTAACTATTGATGACGTTGTTTATAATTCTTGTGTCGAACATACGGTGGCAATGAAGCGTCACAGGCTCTGTAACGTGTGACGGGCACACATGAAATACCCTCTAAACCACAAGCAAGGGAGGTTACGCTTCATCATTTTCTCACTGCCGACTGATCTATTCAGAAATCAAAATTTTATAAGCATCTTTGTCACTTGCAGCAGAAAAAACTAACCTACAAATATCTCCCATCACCTGCTGTAGAACTTTGTGGAATTTCTCAAACAACAAACTGCAACCTGAGCATAGAAATTATATATATTTGACAACAGATAAACGCACACGATATTAGGGGTTGGTAGTAGAAGAATGTTTAAATTGACAGACTAAAAAGAAATCTTTTCCCTAATGAATGAAACAAATTTAACGTTAAATATTGTATCAACAAACATGTGTGCCTGAGAAAGCAATACTTAGTACAGAATCAATAGGTCACCCACGAACCATGTCAAATGTCTCATGTTATTGATTTTAAAAGAGATGATGTATGTTTCATGATGTCTGTCAGTGTTGTGACAGAAGGCAACACTGAGTCCATAGATGCTAGAAAATAGTCTCAAGGATGTTCCAGAAGCACAGTGTTCTCGTACCACTTTGTATATATTTCCTGTCTGGTAAGTGTCTTATTGTTCATATCTCTCTTCAACAGGCGCGTTAATAACATCCCTTTCCCTATCGTAGCTCTGTCCGCATGTACTGGTACTCAACCTGTCTTTCACACCCTTAAAATACTTTAGGTGTTGGTAGCCACTCATTTTATATATTGGTTATATTCATTTTTGATATGTCAGTTTATGGCCGGAAGTTAGGAGGGTCGGGGTTCAAGGGTGGTGGGAGGAGGGTGGTGATAGGGTAGGGCTCCTGTGAAATCAGCGTGAAGTCCAGAAGTGTGAAATCAAACCATGGCATTATGTACAAACACCGACGCTTAAAATATCATATATTATGTAATTACCAATTCTTGAAGACAGGGTTGTTCACACTTGGTTCATATATGGTAATGTTGGGGTCCAGGAGTGCAGGAATGCTGCCTCCAGAGGTAACCATGACCATACATAGTATATGAGTCCATGATATACTCTTGCATGAGGGTGCTGCCTCCAGTGGTAACCATGACAGTATATTGTATATGACTGCATGATAAACTCTTGTCTGAGGGTGCTGCCTCCAGAGGTAACCATGACCATACATAGTATATGAGTCCATGATATACTCTTGCATGAGGGTGCTGCCTCCAGTGGTAACCATGACCATATATTGTATATGACTGCATGATATACTCTTGTCTGAGGGTGCTGCCTCCATTGTTCACAATGACAATATGTTGTATATAAGTGCATGATTCACTGTTGTCTCAAATTGCTGCCTCCAGTGGTAACCATGACCAAATGTTGTATATGAGTGCATTATACACTCTTGTCTGATGATACTGCTTCCAAAGGTAACCATGACCTTATATTACATATGAATGCATGATATACACTTGTCTGAGGTTTCTGCCTCCAGGGGTAACCATGACCATACATAGTACATGAGTGCATGACATACACTTCTTTGATGATGCAGCCTCCAGAGGTAACCATGACAGTATATTGTATATGAATCCATGATATACTCTTGTCTGATGGTGCTGCCTCCAGTGGTAACCATGACCATACATAGTATATGAGTGCATGATAAACTCTTGTCTGAGGGTGCTGCCTCCAGTGGTAACCATGACCATACGTAGTATATGAGTGTATGATATACTCATGTCTGATGGTGCAGCCTACAGTGGTAACCATGGCAGTATGTTGTATATGAGTGCATGGTATACTCTTGTCTGATGGTGCAGCCTCCAGTGGTAACCATGGCAGTATGTTGTATATGAGTGCATGATATACCCTTTTCTGATGGGGGCTGCCTCCAGTGGTAGCCATGACCATACGTAGTATATGAGTCCATGATATACTCTTGCATGAGGGTGCTGCCTCCAGTGGTAACCATGACAGTATATTGTATATGACTGCATGATATACTCTTGTCTGAGGGTGCTGCCTCCAGAGGTGACCATGACCATACATAGAATATGAGTCCATGATATACTCTTGCATGAGGGTGCTGCCTCCAGTGGTAACCATGACCATATATTGTATATGACTGCATGATATACTCTTGTCTGAGGGTGCTGCCTCCATTGTTCACAATGACAATATGTTGTATATAAGTGCATGATTCACTGTTGTCTCAAATTGCTGCCTCCAGTGGTAACCATGACCAAATGTTGTATATGAGTGCATTATACACTCTTGTCTGATGATACTGCTTCCAAAGGTAACCATGACCTTATATTACATATGAATGCATGATATACACTTGTCTGAGGTTTCTGCCTCCAGGGGTAACCATGACCATACATAGTACATGAGTGCATGACATACACTTCTTTGATGATGCAGCCTCCAGAGGTAACCATGACAGTATATTGTATATGAATCCATGATATACTCTTTTCTGGGGGTGCTGCCTCCAGTGGTAAAAATGACCATACGTAGTATATGAGTGCATGATATACTCTTGTTTGATGGTGCTGCCTCCAGTGGTAACCATGACCATACATAGTATATGAGTGCATGATAAACTCTTGTCTGAGGGTGCTGCCTCCAGTGGTAACCATGACCATACGTAGTATATGAGTGTATGATATACTCATGTCTGATGGTGCAGCCTACAGTGGTAACCATGGCAGTATGTTGTATATGAGTGCATGGTATACTCTTGTCTGATGGTGCAGCCTCCAGTGGTAACCATGGCAGTATGTTGTATATGAGTGCATGAAATACCCTTTTCTGATGGGGGCTGCCTCCAGTGGTAACCATGACCATACGTAGTATATGAGTAAATGATATACTCTTCTCTGATGGGGCTGCCTCCAGTGTTAACCATGACAATATGTTGTATGTGAGTGCATGATATACACTCCTCTGAGGGTGCTGCCTCCATTGGTAACCATGACAATATGTTGTATATGAGTGCATGATATACTCTGGTCTCAGGGTACTGCCCCAGAGGTAACCTTGACAATACGTTGTGTATGTGTGCATGATATACTCTCGTCTGAGGATGCTGCCCACTTAGGTGACAATGACTATACAAAGTATATATGAGTGCATGATATACTCTTGTCTGATGGTGCTCCCTCCAGTGGTAACCATGACCATACGTAGTATATGAGTGCATGATATACTTTTGGCTGATGCTGCTGCCTCCAGTAGTAACCATGACAATATGTTGTATGTGAGTGCATGATATACACTTCTCTGAGGGTGCTGCCTCCATTGGTAACCATGACAATGTGTTGTATATGAGTGCATGATATACTCTGGTCTCAGGGTGCTGCCTCCAGAGGTAACCATGACAATACGTTGTGTATGTGTGCATCATATACTCTCGTCTGAGGATGCAGCCCACTTAGGTGACAATGACTATACAAAGTATATATGAGTGCATGATATACTCTTGTCTGAGGGTGCTGCCTCCAGAGATAACCATGACAGCAAATTGTATATGAGTGCACGATATACTCTTGTCTGAGGGTGCTGCCTCCAGTGGTAACCATGCCAGTATGTTGTATATGAGTGCATAATATACCCTTGTCTCATGATGCTGCCTCCAGAGGTAACAATCACCATACGTAGTATATGAGTGCATGATATACTCTTGTCTGATTGTGCTGCCTCCAGTGGGAACAATGATCATGCATAGTATATGAGTGCATGATATACTCTTGTCTGAGGGTGATGCCCACTTAGGTGACAATGACTATACAAAGTATATATGATTGCATGATATACTCTTGTCTGATGGTGCTCCCTCCAGTGGTAACCATGACCATACGTAGTATATGAGTGCATGATATACTTTTGTCTGATGCTGCTGCCTCCAGTAGTAACCATGACAATATGTTGTATGTGAGTGCATGATATACACTTCTCTGACGGTGCTGCCTCCATTGGTAACCATGACAATGTGTTGTATATGAGTGCATGATATACTCTGGTCTCAGGGTGCTGCCTCCAGAGGTAACCATGACAATACGTTGTATATGTGTGCATCATATACTCTCGTCTGAGGATGCAGCCCACTTAGGTGACAATGACTATACAAAGTATATATGAGTGCATGATATACTCTTGTCTGAGGGTGCTGCCTCCAGAGATAACCATGACAGCATATTGTATATGAGTGCATGATATACTCTTGTCTGAGGGTGCAACCTCCAGTGGTAACCATGCCAGTATGTTGTATATGAGTGCATGATATACCCTTGTCTCATGATGCTCCCTCCAGTGGTAACCATGACCATACGTAGTATATGAGTAAATGATATACTTTTGTCTGATGCTGCTGCCTCCAGTAGTAACCATGACAATATGTTGTATGTGAGTGCATGATATACACTTCTCTGAGGGTGCTGCCTCCATTGGTAACCATGACAATGTGTTGTATATGAGTGCATGATATACTCTGGTCTCAGGGTGCTGCCTCCAGTCGTAACCGTGACAATACGTTGTATATGTGTGCATCATATACTCTCGTCTGAGGATGCAGCCCACTTAGGTGACAATGACTATACAAAGTATATATGAGTGCATGATATACTCTTTTCTGAGGGTGCTGCCTCCAGAGATAACCATGACAGCATATTGTATATGAGTGCATGATATACTCTTGTCTGAGGGTGCAACCTCCAGTGGTAACCATGCCAGTATGTTGTATATGAGTGCATGATATACCCTTGTCTCATGATGCTGCCTCCAGAGGTAACAATCACCATACGTAGTATATGAGTGCATGATATACTCTTGTCTGATTGTGCTGCCTCCAGTGGGAACAATGATCATGCATAGTATATGAGTGCATGATATACTTTTGTCTGATGGTGCTCCCTCCAGTGGTAACCATGACCATACGTAGTATATGAGTGCATGATATACTTTTGTCTGATGCTGCTGCCTCCAGTAGTAACCATGACAATATGTTGTATGTGAGTGCATGATATACACTTCTCTGAGGGTGCTGCCTCCATTGGTAACCATGACAATGTGTTGTATATGAGTGCATGATATACTCTGGTCTCAGGGTGCTGCCTCCAGAGGTAACCATGACAATACGTTGTATATGTGTGCATCATATACTCTCGTCTGAGGATGCAGCCCACTTAGGTGACAATGACTATACAAAGTATATATGAGTGCATGATATACTCTTGTCTGAGGGTGCTGCCTCCAGAGATAACCATGACAGCATATTGTATATAAGTGCATGATATACTCTTGTCTGAGGGTGCAACCTCCAGTGGTAACCATGCCAGTATGTTGTATATGAGTGCATGATATACCCTTGTCTCATGATGCTGCCTCCAGAGGTAACAATCACCATACGTAGTATATGAGTGCATGATATACTCTTGTCTGATTGTGCTGCCTCCAGTGGGAACAATGATCATGCATAGTATATGAGTGCATGATATACTTTTGTCTGATGGTGCTCCCTCCAGTGGTAACCATGACCATACGTAGTATATGAGTGCATGATATACTTTTGTCTGATGCTGCTGCCTCCAGTAGTAACCATGACAATATGTTGTATGTGAGTGCATGATATACACTTCTCTGAGGGTGCTGCGTCCAGCGGTAACCATGACAATATGTTGTATATGAATGCATGATATACTCTCGTCTGAGGATGCTGCCCACTTAGGTGACCATGACTATACATAGTATATGAGTGCATGATATAATCTGGTCTCAGGGTGCTGCCCCAGAGGTAACCATGACAATGCGTTGTGTATGTGTGCATGATATACTCTCGTCTGAGGATGCTGCCCACTTAGGTGACAATGACTATACAAAGTATATATGAGTGGATGGTATTCTCTTGTCTGATGGTGCAGCCTACAGTGGTAACCATGGCAGTATGTTGTGTATGAGTGCATGGTAGACTCTTGTCTGATGGTGCAACCTCCAGTGGTAACCATGGCAGTATGTTGTATACGAGTGCATGATATACCCTTGTCTGATGGTGCAGCCTCCAGAGGTAACAATGATCATAGGTAGTATATGAGTGTATGATATACTCTTGTCTGATGGTACTGCCTCCAGTGGGAACAATGATCATAGGTAGTACATGAGTACATGATATACTCTTGTCTGATGGTGCTGGCTCAAAGGTAACCATGACAGTATATTGTATATGAGTGCATGGTATACTCTTGTCTGATGGTGCTGCCTCCAGTGGTAACCATGACAGTATATTGCATATGAATGCCTGATATACACTTGTCTGTGGTTTCTGCGTCCAGGGGTCACCATGACCATACATAATATATGGATGCTTGATATACTCTTGTCTGTTCGTGCTGCCTCAAGAGGTAACCATGGCAGTATATTGTATATGAGTGCATGATATACTCTTGTCTGTGGGTGCTGCCTCCAGTGGTAGCCATGGCAGTATGTTGTATATGAGCGCAAGATATACCCTTGTCTGATGGTGCTGCCTCCAGAGGTAACAATGACCATACGTAGTATATGAGTGCATGATATGCTCTTGTCTGATGGTGCTGCCTCCAGTGGGAACAATAACAATACATAGTATATGAGTGCATGATATACTCTTGTCTGAGGGTGGTGCCCCTATTGGAAACCATGACAATATGTTGTATATGAATACATGATATACACTTTTCTGAAAATGCTGCCTCCAGTGGTAACCATGACAATATGTTGAACATGAATGCATGGTAGATATTTGTCGGAGAATGCTGCCTCCAGAGGTAACCATGACCATACATACCGACGAGTCCATGATATACTCTTGTCTGAGGGTGCTGCCTCCAGCGGTAACCATGACCACACATAGTATATGAGTGCATAATATACTCTTGACAGATTGAGTTGCCTCCAGATTTAACCATGACCGTACATAGTATATGAGTGCATGATATACCCTTGTCTCATGGTGCTGCCTCCAGAGGTAACAATGACCATACGTAGTATATGAGTGCATGATATACTCTTGTCTGATTGTGCTGCCTCCAGTGGGAACAATGATCATGCATAGTATATGAGTGCATGATATACTATTGTCTGATGGTGCTCCCTCAAGTGGTAACCATGACCATACATAATATATGAGTGCATGGTATACTCTTGTCTGATGGTGCTGCTTCCAGTGGTAACCATTACAATATTTTGTATATGAGTGCATGGAATACTCTTGTCTGAGGATGCCTCCTCCAGAGGTAACCATGACAATATTCTGTATATGAGTACATAATATATACTCTTGTCTGAGAATATTGCCTCAAGTGGTAACCATGACAATATGTTTTATGTGAGTGCATGATGTAAATTTGTCTGAGAATGCTGCCTCCAGAGGTAACCATGACCATATGTTGTACATGATTGCATGAGATAGTCTTGTTTGAAGGTGCTGACTCCAAATGTAAACCATGACAATATGTTGTACATGAGTGCATGATGTAAATTTGTCTGAGAATGCTGCCTCCAGAGGTAACCATGATCATGCATAGTACTTGAGTGCATAATCTACTTTTGTCTGATGGTGCTGTATCCTGAGGGAACCATGACCATACATAGTATATGACTGCATGCGATTCTCTTTTCTAAGAGTGCTGCCTCCAGTGGTAACCATGACCATACAGAATATATGCGTGCATGATATACTCTTTTCTGAGGGTGCTGCCTCCAATGGTAACCATGAAGACGCATAGTGCATGAGTCCATGATATACTCTTGTCTGAGGGTGCTGCCTCCAGTGGTAACCATGACCATACATAGTGCATGAGTGCATGAGATTCTCTTGTCTGAGGGTGCTGCGTCCAGTGGTAGCCATGACATTATGCTGTATATGAGTACATGATATACTCTCGTCTGATAATACTGCCTCCAGTGGTAACCATGACAATATGTTTTATATGAGATCATGATATAAATTTGTCTGAGAATGCTGCCTCCAGAGGTAACCATGACCATATGTTGTACATGATTGCATGAGATAGTCTTGTTTGAAGGTGCTGACTCCAAATGTAAACCATGACAATATGTTGTATATGAGTGCATGGGATACTCTTGTTAGAGGGTGCTGCCTCCAGTGGTCACCATGACAATATGTTGTACATGAGTGCATGATGTAAATTTGTCTGAGAATGCTGCCTCCAGAGGTAACCATGATCATGCATAGTACTTGAGTGCATAATCTACTTTTGTCTGATGGTGCTGTATCCTGAGGTAACCATGACCATACATAGTATATGACTGCATGCGATTCTCTTTTCTAAGAGTGCTGCCTCCAGTGGTAACCATGACCATACAGAATATATGAGTGCATGATATACTCTTGTTTGAGAATGCTGCACCCAGTGATAACCATCACAATATGTTGTTTATATGTGCACGATATCCATTTGTTTTCGGAATGCCGCCTCGAGAGGTAACCATGACGAAATAGTGTGTATGAATATGTTGTACATGAATACAAGACAAGTGCTCTGTAAGGAATGTAGCCTCTTGGGTAGTTGGATGGTCCACACAATCAATGCTACATGAACCCTGTTGTGTTATATTCTTACTTGACTACTATACGGCAAAACATGCAATATTATTCCCACAGATTCGACCCTTGTTAAAGATGCAATATTATTCCCACAGACTGGACCCTTGTTAAAGATGCAATATTATTCCCACAGACTGGACCCTTGTTAAAGATGCAATAATATTCCCACAGATTGGACCCTTGTTAAAGATGCAATATTATTCCCACAGACTGGACCCTTGTTAAAGATGCAATATTATTCCCACAGACTTGACCCTTGTTAAAGATGCAATATGATTCCCACAGACTTGACCCTTGTTAAAGATGCAATATGATTCCCACAGACTGGACCCTTGTTAAAGATGCAATATTATTCCCACAGACTGGACCCTTGTTTTAAGATGCAATATTATTCCCACAGGCTGGACCCTTGTTAAAGATGCAATATTATTCCCACAGGCTGGACCCTTGTTAAAGATGCAATATTATTCCCACAGATTGGACCCTTGTTAAAGCAGAAAACATCATGCTTCGGAGACCAAGAAGGCTAAGTTCAACTTTCAAAGTGGAAGTGAATGGCACACAACATCGTTACCACGCCTACTATGCTAGCGATGGTAAAATCTCTTGGCCAGCAAGAAGTGATTCTCAACCAGGACCATTTTGGCAGGGAGACTTACAAGGGTACTTTGCAGTACACAACATCATGGTATCAAGTGACAATGATCTTCAGTTTGGTGAGCCATTATATGTATTGAAATAAACACAGTTCCAACAAAATATCATAACTCATGATGAATATATATTGTTTCATATCAACTGGTATTGTCACTATCAAATGGTGATATATTAGATAAAAGCGACAAAACCATTTCCACATCCATAAGAGACACATTCTCATGATACAGTTCAAATCGTACAATCTTGTCTGAGAATGGATGAAAACACTTGTTTGTTACTTATATTTATATCACTATATTAGTTCCCGGTGTTAGGTATTTGGACATACAGTATATACAGTACTGTATATGAAACAATGATTAATGAATCGGAACTAGGTGTTTTAGAAATCCTGATAGTATCTCAGGAATATACCTGAACAATATTCTACTCCCAAAGACTGTAGTTATTGCTAAAACAATATGTTATATAATGGTGCACAGAGGCTAACCAAGACGTTTGCCATTTTCATTAAGGTTTTCAAAGATTTACACAGGTTCGTTTGAACTGAATGTATAAACAATATTTTTTCTAACTATTTGCATTCGTTTTCATTACCCTGTATACCCACGCTGTAAATCTCCCTCGCAACGTTCTTTACCCAGGGGGGGCGGTGGGGTAGCCTAATGGTTAAAGCGTTGGCTCGACACGCCGAAGACCCGGGTTCGAATCCCCACATGGGCACAATGTGTGAAGCCCATTTCTGGTGTCCCCCCGCCGTGATGTTGCTGGAATATTGCTAAAAGCGGCGTAAAACCAAACTCAGTCAGTCAGTCAGTCTTTACCCAGATCCCTGCGTCCAAATGGGCGATCCTAAATGTAAATATCACTGTGTATTTGTTAAACCTTGCATCACCTGGCTATAACACGTTCAAGGAAATGTACCATATTTGTTTTCGATGCTTTCGAACATGAAAGCGATTTGACATACTGTTTACTGTTCCATTTCACAGCTTCAGAAATCAGAAATGCATACATTGGGGTATCGTCAGTAGACGTTGATTGCCCGGATGACGACGTGATCTGGTGTGGTCAATGGCCGGCAGATACGTTAGCTGGTGTAACCTTGACCTTCAACTGTTCCCACGTGAAAAATACGAGATTCGTGAGAGTATGGAGAAACATCACAGGCCACCTGGCTGTACAGGAAGTCGAGGTACAGGGCACTCCGAGTAGACCAAACGGTAACTATTGCATCTTGTTAGATGGCTTTGATCAGGATTATTTTCCCTTGAAGGACATCGTTTGCACCTTTTCTTTATATTGTCTGGTCTGGAGTAGGTACAGGTGCTAGTCAAATAGCTGGCTGACCGAAAGGTAAACAAACCACACATACCCTCAGTATCCATACTACTTTCAAACTCTACTTTCACTTAACAACCTGAGGGACGGAGCCACAACTCGATTAGATGCAATTACATATATCAAACGCCAAAACAAAATTGGATGAAAGATGTTTCTCGGCCGTTTCTCAAACGGTGAAATTCACTACTTCTTTTTATCAGAACTTCCATAAGATGACATTTTTAATTTGTCTCTGAAAACGTCTTTCTTCAGAGAAGCCATTCTGCTATCTATTACTTAGCAGCTGATGTCGTAGAAAGTCAGGCTTTATATGGATTACGGTTAGTAGCAATTAGGATATTGAACTACTTCTATAAAATCTGAGATTGTTTAACGAATATTCCAGGTCTGATGCAGTTTTACTGTGCCACAGGCAGATGTTGTTACCTGCACAGACACTGTCCATAGGCAGATCACTGAAGAATCTTTTACAAGCAGAAACAGGATTTCTCTTCTCCGATTATTGCTAACAATTTTACTGGCACAGACCTTTCATTCTATTTTCAAAATATGTTCTCAGTTTTAAAGTTTCTGTCAGCATCCTGTTGTCAGCATCCGTCTTGTGCCATTGCAAAATAAACCAACCGATGTATTGTTTATGCAAGTACAATACTTTTGTGAAAATAGTTTTGTCTTGCCTTCGTGTAGGACATTCCTTCACGAGAACCGCAGTAGAGGCAAGTCACCCTTGCATGATGTGGAGTGCTCCTTCAATGAGCTAGTTCTGGCAGTACACATTAGAACGTGTAAACCAGGTCGGCATAATGGAGGACTTAACGTTATATATTTGCAGGTGTACTATTTACACAATGCATGCTAAGTATTGACAACATTTCTTTTCAGCCTCTAATTACAACAAGAATGTGAACGAAAAGGTGACGACGACCGTGATGTCTTTGAATGCCAGATCTGTCAGTGACTGTGGCATCAAATGTCTGGAGACCCAGCCATGCCTCGTCTTCAGCTACAATCCATCTGCCGATCCATCCTGTCTCCATGCGGTAGATACAGATACGACATCCATCTCCGACTGGGTCACGTACTTTACAGCTGACTGCCTTCGTCACAACACGTGTGATGATGATTATGTCAAGTAATGTACGTGCATTTGTCCCTAGTTGCGGTATTGGTATCTGGTTATGTGTATATATGAACAGGCAGGTATCCGCACATGTTTCGTCTTTGAATGCCATATCGGCCAGTGACTTTGGCTTCAAGCGTCAGGAGACCCAGCCATGTCTCGGCTTCAGCTACAATCCATTTGCCGATCCATCCTGTCTCCATGCGGTAGATACACATAAGGCATCTGTCACCGCCTGGGTCACGTACTTTATAGCGTCATGCGCTAGTAGCATCACATTGAACTAATGAGTAATTCACCACAAGGAAGACGACATGCTGGACTGTTGAGTTATCTACTTCAGTAAATCTATGATATCTGTAAAACATCAAGGAATATACATCATCGACCTGAAAAGACAACGGAAACATTTCATGCATTCATATGAATTTCAGTGGGTGCTGAAATTTCTGATTTCGTCCTAAGTTTAATCGGGTTGGAAACATATAAATTTACTTAGGTGGGAAAACACATGTAAAATTTCAACTCTGCAGATGTTTACACATCTTAGATATTTATGTATCATACCGGATTTCAGGGGTATATATATGAACGGTTAATACATCTTCATGTTACCTGTGCTCGCAAGATGATCATATGTTTCCATCATGTGAATTGCTTGGTTCATGTAATTTCATTTTCACACATTTTAGTACCTTTGAAATCAACGTCCAAGTGACCTAATTATTCTTATCACCAAACCAGCCTGGCAAAGAAAGCAGTCTTACGCTAGCTAACACGCCTTATTCAGCTGCACTCCCTCTTGCTACCAGTATCAGTTACGCCTTGTCTGCGGTGTTTGCAAATCTTGTGTGGTGCTTGTTTCGAGGGATTAAAATGTTCAGTGGTGAACAAAGGGCGATGAGATGCCCCTTTGTCCTCCGCTGTCCCAGGAAATTAGCACACTTTATCTCACACTGCCAAATACGCTACACGAACCAACTGAGTTCAGCTCGCGGATCACGACTGTAAAATAATTATTGGCAGTACATAATTGGAATATTATTGCACTGCATGTAACCTTTCTTAATAGCCTCACAGTGTCTGAACCATGTTATTTCTCCTTCTGCTCAGCCTTGCTGTAATAACGCCATACATGAACTTTAATGTTGTCCACATTTGTTTCACTTACGTTAAAGTAACAAACGATGCCATATCAAATAATAGATTCAGTGAAAAATGAAAAAGAGTTTTTATTGTGTAGCGGATAGCACTGGCGGGTGCGTTCTCTGAGTATACCATGGGCATGTTGGACCTCCGTACGTCTTGTGAAATTCGTCTTGATTGTCCTGTATAAATTGACGATCCATAAACTCAGATTGCGAAAGCAAATGTCACACAAGTAAATGTGATGTTGCATTGCTGCGATTTTCCCCGTCCTTCTCACAAGATATATTCTCGGCACATAAAGAAACTGTGCATACAAAAATTTAAAATCTAAATTTATCAAACCTGTGTAGACCCATAAGGATTTAAACTCAGAGATTAGTGATATGTTTCCAACATGCATGCACGTGCCACGTTCCGTGACGTCAGTGGGTTCGTCCTTGAGACGTGCAAGACGTTGTTGCACGTGCAGTCCGGGAAAGAGAAACAGAGCAAATGAATGTCACACAATATTGTCACTTTGGAAAGCTCAACCCCTGCCTTTGCGATCGTTCAAATATTTTAACGGCTATTGAAACGCATAGCATGCCAAGGCTCACGTCTGCTCAACGTCATGAGGCCATTGGGATGGTCCGTTGGGGAATGTCTCAACGACAAGTGGCTGCACATTTCCACTGCCACCGGAACACCATTTCTGCACTGGTGAGACGCTACCAGAACACAAATGACGTCATCGATCGGCCATGTTCTGGACGTCCACCTGTAACAACGCCAAGACAGGACAGATGGATAAGGGTGACCCATCTTCGCCACAGGTATCAGACTGCAGTGATGACTGCCAGAACCATCCCAGGACTTCGTCGTATCCACCCCAACACAGTTCGACAACGTTTACGTCATCACGGATCAGACCACGACGTACAGCCATACGGCCTATCCTGACACAACGCCATCGACAAGCTCGTCGTATGTGGTGCCGAAATCATGTCCGCAGACCCTTGTTTTGGTGGAGAAATGTTGTTTTTACAGATGAGTCCAGGTTTAACATTTCCCATAGTGATGGACGTCAACGTGCCTATAGACGCGTGGGAGAACGTTATGCACAGGCATGTGTCTTGGAGAGGAATCGCTTTGGTGGTGGTTCCGTGATGATTTGTGGTGGAATAACAGCACGCCAAAGAACTCCTTTGGTGATTGTTCAGGGCAACTTAACTGGTGTGGGATACAGAGATCAGATTTTTCGACCTGTGGCGATTCCTTTTCTGCAACGTCATGGCCCTGGGTTAACGTTCCAACAGGACAATGCCCGCCCTCATACGTTGACTTACCGCCTTGACGTGCAAATTCACCGGCTCACTCCCCGAAAGAACATGTTTGAGACGAGATGGATCGACGTCTACGCTGTCTTTCTCATCCGCCAGATAACGTCCTTGACTCTGCAACAGAACTCGAGAGAATCTGGCGTGACATCCCATAAGCCTTCCTTGCACGTTTGATAGGCTCTATGCGTCATCGATGCATTTCTGTTCTCAATGCCGATGGTGGACATACCCGTTATTGAGCTTGTGACATGGTCGTTTCACCACTGTCCCGCTTGTGGACTCGTGACGTCATTGTGAATGACTTTTCAGTTGAAATTCTCCCGACTTCTTAAGGTCTCATGATCCCTCAATTACAGTTTATATACTGAGTCAAAAAAGAATCTTCATAAAATGTAATTTGAAAAATAATGAATAATTTTTCTCTGATGATACATCTATGTATCCGAAATGGGATCCCTATCTTTCGACTCTAGAAAAAACGTTAGCAAAACCACTCAAACCCATCCATTCCTCGTGCGAATGATGTCAGTGCCAAATCAGGTTTAGCACGTGCAGTCGATCACGTGATCTTCGCATCGATTGTTCTTCATATGCCCGTGTTTGCATTGGCCTCAAGAATTGAAAAAACACTTTCTTTTTAACCACAGTTCTAACGGTACTTGAAATGCCACGATTGTCAAAAGTGCAACGTGAACGTGCCGTTGGCATGTTGCAAGCGGGAAGATCTGTTTATTTGGATGCAGCCGTCGTACTGTGTATGACTTGCGAGGTCGTCTACAACAAAATGGCACCACTTCTGATCGCCCGAGATCGGGTCGTCCACGTGTGACGTCACGAGCAGAAGACCGTCAAATCGTTCTACGTCACCTACGTGACAGAATTCTGCCGGCTACACATACCAGGGCTGAGATGTTTAGAGGTCGACTGTCATCACAGACCATTCGAAATCGGTTGTGGGCTGCCAATCTCCTTTCTCGAAGTCCATATCGTGGGCCAATATTGACACCGTTTCATCAACGTCTGCTGTGGGCCCAACGTCACCTCCGATGGACCCAGAGAGACTGGAATCGAGTCGCCTTTAGCGATGAATCCAGGATTACCCTCAGAATCGCGGACGGCAGGCATAGAGTCTGGAGACGACGTCGTGAACGGTATGCTCAGTGTTGTACACAGAAAGTCGACAGATTCGGGGGCGGAAGTTGCATGGTGTCGGGTGCTTTCTGTGGGAACAACCGTTCCCGACTTCTGGTCATCCGTAGAAACCTCACAGCTGCTGCTTACCGCGACCAGGTGCTCACCTATGAACTCGTTCCTTTCATGGCGGCTCATGGCCCAACATGATAATGCTCGGCCGCATACCGCGATGTTGACACAATATTTCCTTCAAAACGCTGGAATCAACGTCATAGACTGGCCATCGAGGTCCCCTGACCTTAATCCAACAGAGCACGTTTGGGATGCACTTGCGAGAAGGCTTCTTGGTCTTAGGAACCAACCTCCGAATTAGCAGGAACTTGACGCTGCCTTGCAAGAGCAATGGCGCAGAATCCCCAACCACGTGTTCACAAGCATCAGGCAGTCGATGAGGAGACGGTGTTTGGCAGTGGTGAATGGGCGGGGCGGCCATACACGATATTGAACTGACATATTTCGTATTTGTATTCTTGTGACTTGACATTCTGTATACCCGTGTTTCGGAACGGCGGTGTAGCCTAATAGAACTGATTATGGCACTGTCAGTGTATCGAGTACATCACACAGATCTCAGCAATGAAATAATAACAATTTAACCATCTTACCATCTCTTGTTCTTTTATAGTTCCCTGAAGAAAGAATGTGATGTTTCTTTTTGACTCAGTATATATGTACCTTTGACATTGTTATCGTACTTACAGCTGGGATAATATTTTGACAATGCACAGTTTCTTTATGTGCCTAGCATATATTCCGTTGTTTGGAGCAGGCCTATGACTATTACTCCCCAGAGTTGCTAAACATCTGGTAGACCTTTAGTCTGACATAGTCGCAGACCTCGCATGTTGAAGTTCAGATCTGACAGGTGTCGAAAATATTCATTCCGACATGAATGCAATATATCAGTGGGTTATTGTTTTCCTAAATAAGTGGAGTGCTTTCTACAACACTGGAGATACATGTATCGTTGTCCTTCTGATATTCCCACGATCGGAAGCTCTACCCATTTAGGGTACAATGTGTATGTAGGGAATGGTCTTAAGCCTTTTCTACTTTAACCAGGATTCTTCGAACTTGTAACAGTCGTTTGAGAAGATCAAGAGAGAAAGGGATAGTACGCGATGTATCTGACGGACGTATATGGAGAAAGTTCGATGAATGTTACTGTATAAATACAATAATAGAAATTTCGGTTATGTTTTAAAAGTACCCTCAATCTGATAGCAGGAGAGTTTATTGTGAAAGATCGCAGTATGTGTCATCATAAACGGGCCAAGATAAAAGTACATGTCATTCATTCCCAGTATATCCCTTCATAGACACGGGACATCGTTTTTACAGGTAGGGCAAAATACTTTCTTCTATGGGTATCTGCCGGTTTCACGCTACATACATGTATTCAGATTAATGAGAAAAGTAGCGACGTAAGTTCTCCTCCATCACACATATAATTGTATAGATATCCAGTAGTTAGTGATAGCGTTGAAGCAACTTATGAAAATTTACGACAACACTATCAGCTGCAGTAGTACTGCCATACCTAGCATCGTGTTTATTACTACAATAGTTTTTCTCATTGAATTTTCTCATTTGAAGTCATTTCCCAAATAAATGTATAGTTTATGTGAAATAAAAACAAGCTGAAGTAGTTTCAGTCTCTTTTAATAACTGACAAGAAGACCCGTGAAGATCCGGAGTAGAATAGGTCTTCAGCAACCCATGTACTTACCATAAAAGGCGACTATGCTTGTCGTAAGAGGCGACTAACGGGTTCGAGTGTCAGGCTCGCTGACTTGGTTGACACATGTCATCGGTTCCTAATTGCGCAGATCGATGCTCATGCTGTTGATCACTGGATTGTCTTGTCCAGACTCGATTATTTACAGACCGCGGCCATATAGCTGGAATATTGCTGAGTGTGGCGTAAAACTACACTCACTCACTCACTCACTGACAAGAAACTTCAAGTAAACAGTTAAAACATAACTCAATGAAGCTGCAAGTCTGCACCCAAACATCTTGTATTTTTGCGCTGCGCATTTATCAACGGACGTCAATTACTAAACTATCGATAGTCACACATACTATCGAGGCATCGATAGTTTTTCGCTTCTACCAATGATTAATTGCTATCGGAGACTCAACAATTGCAATTTATCGATAGTTCGATGCATCGTTGCAGCCCTACTGGAGACAAATGTGATGGAGCGTATGTAGGGACGGGTAGAAGACAAAAGACAAAATGGATATTCGTACTGTTATACTTTTTTAATTATATGTAAACATTCGTTCTTGTCTAGGAATTAAATGTATATTTTCCAATTTCAACCAAATGTACATTCGAAGGATATCGAAATCTAGGTTAAGCTATTTGAATTATATTTGCAATTAAAATACCCAAACAATGGTTTGTTGTCCAAATGTTTTATTTTCCATATCTTGTCCCAGTCGGTATCACAGTCACAGAGCGATATTATTTCCCCTTCTGCCCAGCCCTTATTGTAATGCTTACACCTAAATTAAGCATGTCTAGATATTCCCAGGTTCAGCGTCTGTTATAATCTGCAGGAAAACTAACTGCAGGGTTAGGGTTACAGATTAAAAACATACCAAACACCCATGGCTGGCGGA